ATCCCGTTATCAACGACATCCAATGTCCATAGCCAGGAAACCATGACTATCTGTTGATCACAACGAGCTAGTCAACTAGAGGCTCACTAGGGACATATTGTGGTCTATGTATTCACACGTGTATTACGATTTCCGGATAATACAGTTATAGCATGAATAAAAGACAATTATCATGAACAAGGAAATATAATAATAATACTTTTATTATTGCCTCTAGGGCATATTTCCAACACAAGTTGCTATCGAACCTCGTAGGTCGACAAGGATATGTACTACTCCTGAGTGGTACGGTAATCATGTCTTAGATATCATGTTGTTAGACAACAATGAACCTACGAGCTATGGAGAAGCGATGGTGGGCCCGTATTCCGACAAATGGTTAGAAGCCATGAAATCCGAGATATGATCCATGTATCAGAACAAAGTATGGACTTTGGTGGACTTGCCCGATGATCGGCGAGCCATTGAGATAAATGGATCTTTAAGAAGAAGACGGACGTGGGCGGTAATGTTACCGTCTATGAAGCTCGACTTGTGGGAAAGAGTATTTTCACAAGTTCAAGGAGTTGACTACGATGAGAATTTCTCACCCGTAGCGATGCTTAAGTCCGTCGGATCATGTTAGCATTAGCTGTATTTTTTGATTATGAAATCTGACAGATGGATGTCAAAAACAAATTTTCTTACCAGTTTTCGTAAGAAAGAGTTGTATGTGATACAATCAAAGTTTTGTCGATCCTAAGGATGCTAAAAGGTATGCTGGCTCCAGCGATCCTTCTATGATCAAAGCTTTTAGGTTTATACAATGTTTGCTAGAAACTTGTATTTACAAGAAAGTGGGTGGGAGCACTACAACATTTCTGATAAGTATATGTGGATGACATATTGTTGATCCGAAATAATGTAGAATTTCTGGAAAGCATAAACGGTTGTTTGAAGAGTGATTTTCAAAGGAAGACCTGGATAAAGCTGCTTACATATTGGGCATCAAGATCTATAGAGATAGATCAAGACGCCTGATGATACTTTCAAAGAACGCGCACCTTGACATGATTTTGAAGGAGTTCAAAATAGATCAGTCAAAGAAGGGATTCTTACCTGAGTTGTAAGGTGTGAAGTTGAGTAAGACTCAAAGCTTGACCATGACAAAAGAAAGAGGAAGGATGAAGGTCGTCCCCTATGCTTTTGTCATAGGCTCTATACGGTATGCCATGCTGAGTACCGCACCTGATGTGTGCCTTGCCACATGTCTGGCAAGAGGGTGCAAAGGTGATCTAGGAGTGGATCACCAGATAGTGGTCAAAATTATCCTTAGAGGAATAAGGAAATGTTTCTCGGTTATGGAGGTGATAAAGAGTTCGACGTAAAGAGTTACGTCGATGCAAGCTTAACACCATCCGGATAGCTCTGAGTAGAGATACCGGATACGTATAATGGAGCAACAATTTGGAATAGCTCCAAGTGGAACGTGGTAGCAGCATCTACGATATGACATAAAGTTTTGCGAAATACATAGGGATCTGAATATTGCAGACCCGTTGACTACAACCTCTCTCACAAGCATAACATGATCAAACCTAGAACTCATTGAGTGTTAATCACATAGTGATGTGAACTAGATTATTGAGTCTAGTAAACTCTTTGGATGTTGGTCACATGGCGATGTGACCTGTGAGTGTTAATCACATGGCGATGTGAACAAGATTATTGACTCTAGTGCAAGTGGGAGACTGTTGGAAATATGCCCTAGAGGCAATAATAAATTAGTTATTATTATATTATATTTCATTGTTCATGATAATCATTTATTATCCATGCTAGAATTGTATTGATAGGAAACTCAGATACATGTGTGGATACATAGACAACACCATGTCCCTAATAAGCCTCTAGTTGACTAGCTCGTTGATTAATAGATGGTTACGGTTTCCTGACCATGGACATTGGATGTCGTTGATAACGGGATCACATCATTAGGAGAATGATGTGATGGACAAGACCCAATCCTAAGCCTAGCACAAGATCGTGTAGTTCGTATGCTAAAGCTTTTCTAATGTCAAGTATCATTTCCTTAGACCATGAGATTGTGCAACTCCCGGATGCCGTAGGAGTGCTTTGGGTATGCCAAACGTCACAACATAACTGGGTGGCTATAAAGGTGCACTACGGGTATCTCCGAAAGTGTCTGTTGGGTTGACACAAATCGAGACTAGGATTTGTCACTCTGTGTAACAGAGAGGCATCTCTGGGCCCACTCGGTAGGACATCATCATAATGTGCACAATGTGACCAAGGAGTTGATCACGGGATGATGTGTTACGGAACGAGTAAAGAGACTTGCCGGTAACGAGATTGAACAAGGTATCGGGATACCGACGATCGAATCTCGGGCAAGTATCGTGCCGATAGACAAAGGGAATTGTATACGGATTGATTGAATCCTTGACATCGTGGTTCATCCGATGAGATCATCGTGGAGCATGTGGGAACCAACATGGGTATCCAGACCCTGCTGTTGGTTATTGACCGGAGAGTTGTCTCGGCCATGTCTGCATGACTCCCGAACCCGTAGGGTCTACACACTTAAGGTTCGATGACGCTAGGGTTATAGGGAAAGTATGTACGCGGTTACCGAATGTTGTTCAGAGTCTCGGATAAGATTCCGGACGTCATGAGGAGTTTCGGAATGGTTCGGAGGTAAAGATTTATATATGGAAAGTCCCGTTTTGGTCACCGGAAAAGTTTTGGGTGCTATCGGTAACGTACCGGGACCACCGGGAGGGTCTCGGGGGTCCACCAGGTGGGGCCACCAGCCCTAGAAGGCTGCGTGGGCCAAGTGTGGGAGGGGACCAGCCCCAGGTGGGCTGGTGCGCCCCCACCAAGGCCGAAGGCGCAAGGAAGAGTGGGAGGGGGCAAACCCTAGGTCCAGATGGGCCTTAGGGCCCACCCTAGGTGCGCCCCCCTCTCTCCTCCCTTGGCCGCCACCCTAGATGGGTTTTGGGGCTGCCGCCACCCCTAGGGAGGGAACCCTATATGGGGGCGCAGCCCCTCCCCTTCCCCTATATATACTTGAGGTATTGGGGGCTGCAAGACACACGAGATCATCTCCCTCTTGGCGCAGCCCTCCCTCTCTCCCTCCTCGTCTCTCGTAGTGCTTGGCGAAGCCCTGCTGGAGTTCCGCACCCCTCCACCACCACCACGCCGCCGTGCTGCTGCTGGACGGAGTATTCCCCAACCTCTCCTTCTCCCCTTGCTGGATCAAGGCGTGGGAGACGTCACCGGGTTGCACGTGTGTTGAACGCGGAGGCGCCGTTGTTCGGCGCTTAGATCGGAATCAACCGCGATCTGAATCGCTGCGAGTACGACTCCTTCATCCGCGTTCTTGCAACGCTTCCGCTTAGCGATCTACAAGGGTATGTAGATGCACTCCCCTTCCCCTCGTTGCTAGATTACTCCATAGATTGATCTTGGTGATGCGTAGAAAATTTTAAATTTCTGCTACGATCCTCAACATTGAAACCGCGATAATCCTAGACCTCCGTACCTTTACGAAACGTTTTACATAACCTCCCCAATAACTCTTTCGCCCCCCTGATTTTCAGGTGGGTGGGGCCCCTTCATCCCCCTTCTTCAATCGCAATTGTCCATGTGGAAGGTTACGTAAAACACGTAAAATTCTTACGTGGATGTAGCATTACTCTTAAAACCGTGTGCTATGGTTGATTCTTTCCCAAATTTTATGCTTGCTTGCAGTTTGGGCCGAGCAAAGAGCTCCTATTTGACCGTGCTAGGGGGTTGCAAGCCCTAAGCATGGCAATGTTGATGGTGATTGGGCATCATATGTCAAATTTCTCTGCTTATTCCTTTTGATATACTCTTTCATCATCATAATGTTGTGGCAACGGAGATGTTGGATGACAATGGATAAGGTCACGCTGTTGCATTAGCACGATGTTGTTGAGAGGATCGTGTCGGTCCTTTTGTTTGGTTGATTTTATTTTTGAAATGGATTCAAACTCGGGGCGCTTGAGCAAGAGAAAGTTGCGGGTTGACAGCCACTACGGTAGAGCAACTTTACTTTTGTTTGGTTGACTAGTTTGTAATTAGCTTGTTTTTAGTGCTCAACTAGGTGTTGCGATATTTTTCAACGGTTTATATATGGCAGAATATCCTATTTTTTTATTCTTAGCCCTCTTCAATATTTTTTTCATAAAACTATCCAAGGTTGGGGGTTGTGGTCTCTGCAGCCTTGCACATAGCTTCACCAGTGCCGCTATGTTTTTTTAATCGCTTACACACATGATACAACTCCGCGCGGGTTGAGATACAAGAAATCCAAGTAGGTCGCCTCACATAGAGAACATGTTTAAATTCCGAATATTCATATTTACATATACTAATCCATCTTTCCAAATTTCCTAGTATGAGATATTGAAATGTATCCTAGACCTACCATATCATGGCAGAAAAAAAGTTATCAGGGCACCCATGTAAAGAGTTCACCGGCAGTGAAAGAAAATGCCTACTACCGATCCGCACGAACCGTTGAAATGGGAAATACCGGGAGAAGTTTTCCGAACTCTGCAAAATTAATCACCATCGAGCAAGGCGAGCCGGCGACCGCTTCGTAGCGTAGCCGTCGACGGCTCGCCCCACGACGGACGGTATGGCTACATGGGTACGTCTCTCTCCCCACGCACTGCGACCCGACCCACCCGGCCTCGTCAAAAGGAGCCCCAGCCCTCCCACACCGCAGCGCACTCCCCTCCCTCCCTCCCTCACCTTCCTCTCTCCCCCCTCCCCCGCCCGCTCCCTCTCCTCGCTCGGGTGCTTCCTCCCTCCCGGTGTCCACTCCACTCGCCACTGGCTCCGTTCGGTGCTTGAATCTTGACCGACCCGCCTGAGCCGGCAGCCACCGGCGGCCTGCTGCCGCTTGCTTCTCGCTCCAGTGGTGCCTACGAGCTGCGGACGGACGGACGGACGGACGGAGGGGGTCCGGGATGGAGCGGTACGAGGTGATCAAGGACATAGGGTCCGGCAACTTCGGGGTGGCCAAGCTGGTACGGGACGTCAGGACCAAGGAGCTCTTCGCCGTCAAGTTCATCGAGAGGGGGCACAAGGTGAGCTCGAATTAAATTCATCCCCCTCTGTGTCTAATCCGCCCTTTCCTAGGTTGTGTTTGAGTTCTTGATTCGTAGACGAGGCTTCTTCATCCGGACTGCTGGTGTTTAGCTGGGAGTAGTACTAGTTTGCTCAACGGCTGATTCGGTGCTACGTATTTGGCTTGAGTGGTTCCGGGTGTACTAGTTTGCTCAGGAGTAAAGAGATTCGATGATCCACTGTGCTACCGCTGGCCCGACATGCTCTGTTTCGGTGTCTGAAATTCCCAGTCGAGTTTCGATGCTTTTAATTCATGGTCTTGAATTTTGAGCGAAATATAGTTCACATCGCTATTCGGTTTCTTGGCCTCAAATCACACTTGACCGGTCAATGCAGTCGCTCCTCTGTTCATCGCTTTATATTGATTAAACAGATGGATTTTCACCTGGTGCTAATTAGTCCAAGTCCTGTCCACCTTAGCTGTAAATCGGGCAAGCATCTATTCACAGTGTTCATCTTTGGTACCAGGATCACCAACCAAATCCATATACCCTGCCCCGTTTTGCAGCCCAAGTGAATGGTCTGTCCAATTTTGGAATGCCTCCTTGGATTGTGTTGCATTTTGTTAGATTATGCAGAACAATGGTTGGCTTGTTCAAGGTGTTAACAGTTAGTTAGTTAAATAAGTTTCCACAAAGCTGGTAGACGCCCGTACGGAATTAGCAAAATTTCTGTCTGCTCAACAAAATGAAGTTAGCAAACACTGTCATGTTAGGTAAACCCTCTTTACTAATTAATTCACACGGTCATATCGGTTAGCATGTGTTATTACTTGTAGTTCACTTCAGCCACTTATGGACATTCCCCCCACCTTTCTTCCTTATCATCATTGGCTCTCAACATCTTTCACTCAATCAATGATACTGCTATATTCATTATGTACACACAACCATTTATTATTTTCGATCTATTACATCCACCACCTCTGACCATTTTATTGTTCACGTTTCGCTGTTCGCGTGGAGAAAACCATTCACCTTAACTTAATTGGGTTCTGTAAGCCATTTTGGGCGTGGTATTTGAGTATCTTTAGTTTGTCAGCTGGAACTTTAATTATTATTCTTCTGCTTTCGTAGATTGATGAGAATGTTCAAAGGGAGATTATGAACCACAGATCTCTGAGGCATCCGAACATTGTTAGATTCAAAGAGGTAAGTTCTTTCTGACTGTATGGAAATACTGATACAAACTCAAAACATTTGAATCCAGTGTCATCTTTATGGATCTGACAATGCGCGTTACCTCAGTCCAATGATTTTCGGAAACTCAAGACATTTTTTCTAATTTTTCCGACCACGTGTTACATATAATGGCTTTAAAAAGCGATGCAAAAATGTGTGGACCCAAGCTCTGGCCTAAGGTCGTATGTTCTAAGTCCTAATGCCTACTTATAAAATAATCATTTCTTTTGAAACTTCATTGCAATGTGTTTGCTGAAAATTCGTCAAACTTCATAACAGCAGTGTTTAAAATGCATTCAAAA